GCCATTCTAAATAAACATTTTACAATACTGTTGACGTGCTACCATTTTCTTTAGATACTTTAGATACTAAAAATTATTTTCAATCATGATTCCAAAAAATGAAGGACCTTGCTCTATAAAAAATTGTGTTGAATTAGGTCGTTTCCGTCAATTCACAAAATTGGCATATGAAAAAGCCCTAAAAAAAGGAACATACACTTCTTATGATTATTTGAGGATTGGGCAACAGTTGTGTCATAAACATTATATGCGCATCGTTGAACCTGACAGAGGTAAAACAGTAGAAACTTCTAATTCAACAATGCGCATCGGACTTGACAATAATCAAATGTTAGAGGTTCCAAATTTGGTAGAAATTCCAAATTTGGTAGAAATAGATGAGGATAATACAAATCGAGGTAACAAATATAATAATAAAAGATCACCCTTGAAGTTAGGTAGGTTAGTCATGTCACAAAAAATTGCCAATCCCATGATATCCAAGCAAATCTGGTCATTCAGACAGACCAAGCTTAAAACGCGACAATTCAATTGCCTATTATTAAATTTAATAAGGTAGTTGCGCAACATAGTTGCGCCTGAAATAAGGTTGTTAGTGGAGCACTCCGTTGACTCCATTTTACTAGTAATACTCTGGAGTATTACTATTAAAATGGAGTCAATGGAGTGCACCATTAACCCACTAGCCTGAAACCAGGGATGGATACATTTGAAGTTCTAGTCTTGTATAAAATTAATAGCCCGAATATAGTCCAGATTGCTTGGAGATCACGGGGCCAACAATTTTTTGTGGAATGACTAATTTACTTCTTTGAGTTGTATAATAAACATATAATTCGCCTATATTATTTATGTGTTCTAAAATATTATTTTATTAACCAATATAGAATTAATTATAAACTATACATTTGCTGAACAAGTTAAAATGCTTACAAACCTTTTGTATAAAAAGCGTCATGAATCTGATTTAGAGCTTGACTATACTTGTTTTCAGCAAATGATTGAGGAAGAAGATCCGCGTTTAAGAGGTTTTTTTAACCAAATGGTTGAGACACTAATTCCAAATAACAGATCTACCTATAGTAAAAACGAAGCAAAAAAATCTATCGTGAGCTTGTGTTACATAATTGCAGGAATGATCAATGACTTCAAATTAGAAGTTGGATTATATTTATTAGCATCAGGAACGTCACGAACTGCAATTGATACTATGCAT